GCCCTTCCTGCTCTTGCCCTTAGCGCTGCCCAATGGCATCCCCGAGCCGGAGGCACCCTTGTCCACCAAGGCCACAACGGGGTAGAAGCCGCGAGCCATCCGCATGGAATTCAATCTTGCCTTCGCATCGGAGTACATTGCAAAGACATCATCGAACTCCTCCACGTCAAAGATCTCGGCCTCGCCTTGGTCGTGCTCGATCGCGCCGCCGTAGTAGTCTTGGTCGCAATCGATCCAGGGAGTGCCGTCATCGTAGGCGTGGTCCTGGTAGAAGACAGAGTCGTCCTCGTAGTCATCCTCGTAGGGGTCCTCGCCACCAAGGTATTCGTCCTGGTAGTAGGCGCCGTCCTTGTGGCTCCTGCTGCGCTCTGGCTTGGAGTCCTGCCCAAGGATGAAGTTCATAGCCTGCTGGATCTTCTCCACACTCAAGTTATCCGTGCCGACGTTGGTCAGGATAAGTTGGCGCTGCTCTCTGGAGATGCCAGCTTTTCGGAGGTACCACCAGGCTTTCACTTTCTCCGGCAGGTCCACGTTGTGGGTCACCCTCAGTTGCCTTTCAGCTCGAGAGTACTCAGCCGAGTAGTCCTGCAAGGTATGGCTTGCCTTCCGATGCAATCTAACAAAGAAGTTCTCGAAGTCCTCTGGCAACTCAGTCAGAGCATCGTACTTGAAGGCCCGGTCCAGGCGCTCGAACACCGTCTTGTAGCCACTGTCGCCCTCCAAGGTCTCAAGGGGGAGATCGTCGATCAAGTCCCAAGCCTTGCCCGTCAAGAGCGTGACAATGTTGAAGACAGTCTCCTTCGAGCGTCCAGCCAAGGTCATCTTCTTTTGGTAGATTTCGCACCGCTTTCGGAACTCCTTGTAGGACCTCTGAGTATTATCGAAGATGGGCACATAGTTGTCTGCCCGGCCCGTGTTTTGGCTGCTCGACGCAGTCTGCTCAGATTCGGCCGGCATTGCTTGCTGCAGCAGCACTGTGGAGCGAAGGCCTCTGCCAACGCTCCGCTGCCAACTTCAATACTTGCAAAGATCTGTGG